GGATGGATGGATGGATGGATGTATTTTATTTTGTATGTTTACTGTAGCTTGATTCTTGATTGGCTGACTCAAATTGTAAGTCACTTTGGATTAAAGTGTCTGCTAAATGTATTGTAATGTAATAATATATTTTTGTAACTAATCCAAATGACGGCTCGGTTGTTGGATTTTGCCGGTTCAGTTGCTGCTTATGTTTAGTGCACTGAGCAGCTCTTTTAATGTTTCTGAAATCATGTTTTCTTTGTCAAATAATCTCCAAAAATCTCCAGCTGATAATTTACGATACACTTCACAGGAAATGACTAAATGTATTTACACTGAGTGCACTGAGGTTCAACCAAATTTTGTGGAATGAAATTTAGAAATTCATTTAGAATTCATTTAGAGCAGAAAAGAGGTCAACACCCTAGTGGTCATCTCCATTTCACCCATCTCCCACTCATCCTGTGCCATTGCTCTAATCTAGTATTTTCATATAGATTTTTTTTTAGTATTTTCAACTCACCACAAGCTCAACATTTAAGTCTTGTATGTCTAGTGTAGTGACCTATGGAACATGGAATAATATAGTTCTTGGTGTATTTACACAGTCCACCCACTTCATCAGTGACCTGACCCATCTCATGTCCATCTTTTTAGAAGTCTCCTCTTGTCTGTCTTCTCTCATTATGTCCTCATTAAGTTTTCCTGCCTTTCCACTTGCAGGCCGGGGTAACCTTCGCCCCCAACTGGACAGTGCCATGCAGGATGTCAGTGACCTGTACCTGCTGATGGAGGAAACGGAGAAGCAGGCGGTCCGTAGAGCCCTGCTGGAGGAGAGGAGTCATTACTGTACATTTATCAACCTGCTGCAGCCTGTGTTGGTGAGGAACGTTGGCGGATTAGATACATGTGAGTTGAACTGATGTGAGGTTATATGACATATATTCTTATGTGTTTTATTTCAGAATGTAGAGATTGCCATGCTGGGTGAGATCACACACCTGCAGCCAATAGTTGACGATCTCACTGCGTTGACTGAAGATCCACACAAGCTTCCACCAGCTAGTGAACAGGTAACTATAGTCCAACCATCAAGCCACATTGGATTGTGCTACATTTACTTTCTATTGTTTGTGTTGTTTTTTGGGGAACTTTTTGCCCTTCTTTATGTCTCCCAGGCCTGAGTCAGACTCTCCTGATGTTTTTATATTTTAGCTTGTGATGTCACCACTGTCCTAGAGTAGGTGAGTGACATGGGTACTGATGTACAGTATGTGAGTTACAGAGTGACTTGGAGACAGAACTCGGACACAGGTCAAGGACTATGTGTAATTTACATAAAAAAAAACAAACAATGCATGCCTTTGGGTCTGGATAAAGGCACAATCCAACATTTTTCCTGGACAGTAAAGGCAACATCTTTTATCAGCCATTGCTTTGCTTAGATAAACAGATTGGATTAAACTTTATTATCACCTAATGAAATCCCAGTAAACAGTACTTGCAAATGAGATGCAGTGTGAGAGCACACACTGCTGTTCCCTCTGTTTATTTTGCCTCATTCCCAGTCACGAATGTTGTGATTGAAGAGAGCAGCAGCATGGCAGGTTTCACTCAAATTGGGAGGTGACAGCTGATGTTGAAGAACTCCCCTATAGTACAACCTGGGAGTGGCTGAGAATCTGAAGGCAGTAGGTTGATGGCAGAGGCTTGAACAGCATCATATAAGTAGAGGTCATTTCCTTTTTCGTGTGACGTTGACTAAAACACTCCAAAATGCATCTATTTGAAAAAGTTATTAAGCTTTTTTCCACAAATGAAAGAGCATCTGTCCATAAAGATTAATGATTTCATTTGTAGCTGAAATTGCAGAATGGTCTTGAAATGAGAATAACAGCAGAAGAAATTGTCAGAAGAGACTCGTCTTTTGGTGACATTTGTCGGTGACATTTATTAAATTGGGTACAAAATATTGTGTCCTTTAAAATAAAACAAAGGGATCAGATATGTCATTGTATTGTTTGGCTGTCTTTGAAATACGTTTTATATTCCTCCTCTCACAACGTGTCTACCAAAATGTTACGTTGCTGTTTAGATCTTTATTTTAAATCACAGCCATGGTGTAAGTCGAGTCAAGCCATTTCAGATTACGGCCATTATTGCTTCTTTATTGACGCCTATGGTCGTCACAGGTGATCGTGGACCTGAAAGGCTCGGACTTCTCTTGGTCCTACCAGACTCCCCCCTCCTCCCCCAGCAGCAGCGGCTCCAGGAAGAGCAGCATGTGCAGGTGCGTTCCACCTCAGATACGGCGTTATGTTCTTTGTGCCCAAGAGTGTTCCCATTGAAACAGGTATTGTGTTTCACGTCAAATGAGCTACGTCGGCCAAATCAAGTCACGACGTTATAAATACCAGTCTGCATTTTGAATTTCAAAACTTTTTGTCCAGAAATCAAAGAGATTGGAAGAAAAATAGTGTCCCCAGAGGAACATACTTGTTCTGAATACGAAAGCAAACCTCTCCTTTCCTTTCACCACGTAGCCTTTTACTGCATCATCAGCCTTGAAAACTTGGTAGCACTCATTTACAAAGCTAAAGGTCTTGGCTTACATTCTTATTCATTCAAAAATATTGAGCAGAAATGCTTTGTAGCTACAGTAGAGAATTGTATACTTACATAAAAAGCTGTTGTAGAGGTTTTACAGTTTTCCACAGCACCTGCTGCACCATTAAAGTGTACATACAGTGGTTTTTGTTAGTATTAGGTAATTAAGGAAGGCATGACTGACAGTCAGTAGAGTATTGACCAAAAGTGTCTACATAATGGGATTGGAGAAGAAGGGACTGATTATAAAACAGTCAGAGTCAGTTTTATAATATTTTCCACATGTGACTTGGGCTCAAACCTACACAGGAAAACATTTAATGAGAAAAGAGAACAAGTTTGATTGAGAAGGGCAGGCGTGTGTGTGGGAGAGCAGCACAAAGGAAGAGTGGAAAAACACAGGTCGTACATGTTGAAATGTGGGGGTGAGAAAGAGAGGCAACTCTGAGTGAGAATGACAGAGCGGGAGATGAGAAGCATGAAGACAGCTGTTAATGTTCAGAGGGAGAGTGGAATCAAAGAAGTGCAAACTTTCAAATGCTCTTTGATGCTGCAAATTTAAAAGAATGCCATCAATTACAATTTCCATATTAATCTATTTTTCCTGAACTCTTTCATTTCGGCTCATATTAGGACTCGCACATGAACAAATACCGTACAAAGAAAGAGTGGAAATATGCCAGTATTTTAATTTGATTCTGCTTTACGTGCACAGTATTGGTTAAAATGAATTCCCATGTTTTGCCCCGCCTCAGTCTCCTTCAGATGCCCTCTGCAGGAGCCCATCGGCTCAGCAGCGTGTCCTCCCATGACTCCGGCTTTGTCTCTCAGGACGCCAACACACACTCTAAGCCTCCGTCACCCATGCCCTCTGATATTGCCAGCCAGGTAAAACATCTCATTCATCGTACCACAACTAGATATTGGCTCAACAGGAACACATGTTCAGTCCTGTCTGGGAAACACCTAAGGCAGAGAGCAAATGAAGTTTAAAAAAGTAGTATTATAGTAATACATAATATAGTACAGTAAAGCAGATTATACAGTAATTCAGTTTTTAACTGTAGTCTTTTTCCTGTTTAGTATTGGAAATGTGTCAGGTTTACTTTTTATGGTTGAACCTATAGATTATTAAGTGGACGTTTTTAATATTTTTTTAAACAATCAAGAATTGTTATTGTTATATATACAATCATACAGTTTACGATGTAGTGTAAAATGTCTCTGCAATACATTTTTAAAGTTTCCTTCTTAGTCTCCACAGTCTGGTGAGATCACACAGTGTGGATTCCAACACAGTCAAAAAAAAAAAAAAAAAAAAATCGTTCCTTATTCGCTGCTTCCTTTCCAACCCAGACCTGGTCTATAGGATCCCTCAGAGGAACACAAATGTTTCCCTGTTGCTTAGAGTAGCCAATACTCCAACTCTCATCCAGTTCCTGTACCGCCTTGTTCCAATTCCTTTACCATCAATCTCCTTACGCTATCTTCCACTCCTATCTCTGCCAGAAATCGACAAGCTCAGCCTCCTCAGAGGCTTCAGAAACCTGCCCGTCTGTCAGCGAGTGCAACTCACCTACAGTGGTTAGTACTGCATGCATCGCACTGACGAGGCCCACACGCACACAAACGCACAAAGTGCTTTTTATATTCATTGTTCTCCTCAGTATAAAGAGCCCCCTTGGGCGCTCTTTATCAGCAGCACTGCGGTTTGACGTGGACAATTTGTTGACATCCAGTTGAGCAGCCTGACTGTCCGTTGTCTGTCCGTTTCACAGTTTGGCTCATGCTCATCCTTCGGTACCTTCCGCCCTGCTTTTTCTCACACTGGCACCATCAGGCCTCTCTCTGTCATACTTCCTGCGTCCCCTACATTTACTCACTCTCCTGGATCCAACACCCCCTCACCCACATCAAAGATCCCTAACTGGAAGGTTTGTTTTCATTTGCAATTTTATGTTTTAATTTCCCTTTTTTTATTCTTCTTTTTAAACTTTTCTGCAGCTTCTTCTTGTGTTTGAATGCCCTCCTGCGCTAAAGAATTAATCCCACCACCCTCATTTTGCTGTTGCTCATCAGTCTCAGTTTTTCTTTGCTAAACTGAGGGGGCTGCCCTTCAATAACCCCGACTTAGCCGACTATCTTTCTAAACATATAACAAGTTCATGACTCAAGACACCAGCCTCCAGGTCAGGTGACAGGTACGAGTTTTTTGGGGAGACGGTGTAATTGTTCCTTTTGCGCTGCAGGATTGGGCCAAACTTAGCTCCTGTGAGCCGTCATTGGCCGGCACTCTGCAGGGAAGGAGAGAATCTGCAGACAAGATGAGAGAAATGGAGGCTCCGCCCAGTCCACAGGGGTATTCTGGGATGCAGTCAGAGGATTCTCACAGAGGGAGACTTGGCCCCGTGAACAAGGTAAGTAGTCCTTGAAGAGTAAACAATATAATGTCAGGATGAAATATTCTGGCCTCAGTAAACAGCAGCACCTGCACTGGGTATTTAAATTTGTGCTTACCTTAATGTTTTTCCTTACTGCATTTCTTATTTTGTGTGTGTGTGTGTGTGTGTGTGTGTGTGTGTGTGGCTCGTCAGCACGGTGAGCCCCTCTCTCCAGCAGCCAGTACTTTAGCCATGGTTTTGACCAGAGGTTTGAGCATAGAGCAGCAGAAGAGCAGCAGAGACTCTCTGCAGTACTCCAGTGGCTACAGCACCCAGACCAACACCCCATCATGCTCTGAGGACACCATCCCCTCACAAGGTAACGTTTCCTTATGCACTGTATGGACTGCAAACATTGTCTAAAGTTTCTCTTTTTACACACGAGCTCCAGTAAAACGTCCTGTGTAGCATTTTCCCAGTACACCTGCTGTGTTCATCTGTGCACCTGTGTTATTGGCCTACGGCAGTGATAATGGTGGAACACATTTACAGAAGATTGCAGAACAAATGAAAAATATTTACAAACAGCACTGTACAAATCTACAGTAATTTTTGATGCACATAAATGTTTATTAACTGCAGGGGTGGGCAAACGTTTGGGCAAAATAATTTCAATAAAATGTACAAGAGTAAACCTAAACTTTCAAAGATAAATTGGCACATTTGATGCCTGAAAAACAGAAGCATTGATGTCAGCCTGTCCAGATCATAAAGCCCAGCTGCATCGTAATGTTGGCAAAGACAAGACTTATCTCACATGTCTATATTCTTCAATGAACACCTTTTGTGTGGAAACTATTGCTAATACTGCTAATACTGTGACTGTCACTTTAATATACAGCTGTTTATCCCCAAAACTACTTTAAGAAAACACACAATTTTACAAATTTATCAGGTTTTCATTATCGGAGGAAAAACACCTAACAATTCTGACAGAGATTACATAATATGCTAACATCGGGTCCATAATATCGGCCGGCCGATATTATCGGACATCCCTACTTGATACCATTTTAAAATGCATATTATGTGTGTGATATGTGTATGGGATACACACATACAGTTGTAGTAGTGTACAACTGTCATTTTTGATGAAGCATATAATTATTTTTTTCTGAAATTATTCTTTTTTTTTTGCTACTAACACCAGTCTTCTCAGTGTTCTGTCCATATTTCATTGTTAAGAAAGACCCTTCTGACTGAATGTCACATCTAGGTTCAGACTATGATTGCTACTCTCTCAACGGGGATGCTGACAGTGAGGGGCAAAGCGACTTCGACAAGTCCTCCACCATCCCCCGCCACAGCAACATTGCTCAGAGCTACCGTCGCATGATCCAAACCAAGAGGCCTGCCAGCACGGCTGGTCTACCTGCAGGTAAGACTCAAAATGGGGCTGCAGGAAACAGCTCTGGAGCCATTACCTCAGGGACCGCCACCATTCGCCGGACGCCGTCCTCCAAGGCTGGTATAAGGCGCACACCATCCACCTCCGGCCCCATTCCCATCCGACCGCCCATTGTACCAGTCAAAACCCCCACAGTACCAGACTCGCCAGGGTATGCTAGCCCGTCGCAATTCTACATATGCAGCGAGGATTTTCTATGCAGTGATGACACATCTACTAGTGACTACATGAGGGCTTCCCCCAAGCGAATGAGTCTTCCTGAGGCCAGCTGGGGCTCAAGTGGAGGGGTGGCAGACAGGACTGTCAGAGCTCAGCTTACACATGTCAGGGGCAACAACAGTGTGGAGGAAGACCCTCAGCTCGCTGCCAACCGCCACAGCCTGGTGGAAAAGATAGGAGAGCTGGCAGCTAGCGCGCACGCCCTAGGTGAGGGTCACTTCCCCTTCCCCAGCTCACTGTCAGAGAGTGCAGCTGCAGCACAGCGTATGCCCCAGGCGCAGGCCCCTTCTGGCCGGGAGGATGTAGATATGCTGGTAAGAATACGCAGAGGAGTGCGGCTCCGTAAGACGGTGACCGACGACAGGTCGGCCCCCAGGCTCCTGTGGTAGTTGAAGGAGAAGGCTGTAAAGCAGTGATTTACAGATTGACACTTTGTAGTGAATTGAAACAGCACTCATGTAATACATGAACAGTGACGTGGATTTAGGAAGTGGTGAATGAAGGCTCTTTATTTGACTGATTAGTGGTCACGGTTATTTCATTTTAAGTCATGTATGTATTGCATATGTACAGAGTAATTTTTATTTTTACCTATGGTTTTTGTCTGTTGGCATCATAGCTATGTGACCCGTTTTAACTTAGTCTGCCCCCTTAGGCCTCGTGATGATGTCATCACAGCCACACACGGCGGAGTTCAAATGCTTGGTGTGTTCTTTCTCGCCCTAATTATTGTTATATTATTATGTGTTTGGTAATTAACACAGGTCAGTGGAAAGTCATGGGCAAAGTGCTCTGTGAGCCTTCTGTGTGTCGTGTTTCTCTTCGTTACTGTATAAGTACCTTATTACGTTTTGTTTGACGAGCTGAGGAGCAGCTCTTTAAGTCGTGTAAATTACAGCAGGTTGACAGTGTTTTTATGGCTGTAATGTACTGTCAATTTATTCTGAAAATAAACAGGCTTTTTACTGTTATGACTTTGTCAGGTGAATTTATTGTTTCATTTCATAAGTTTAAAAAAATGGCATTAACGTGGCCCAGGTGGGATGAGCAAAACTGTTGTGGGCTGCAGATCAGCTCGAGAGGTACCTTTCAAGATGGCCCTTCACACAGTACTGTATAGGTTTTATATATATATATATATACGTCCTGGACATGTTGTTTGTAGTTTGTTTTTAGTTTCCTTAGTTTCATTTTATGATGTTTTGCTAATTACGTGATTTTGACTTTATGTGTATTTAATAACACACAATCCTTGAGGCATTAAAACTAATGGTATTTTTTAAATTGTCAATAACTGATGATGATAATTATTATTTAATGTTCTGTATTTTCTAATGTTGAGGTTCATTGTGAAAAATTACCAACATGTAGTTAATGCTGTGTTTGAATACTCAGTCCTTGATTCCTGGAGTCCAGGAGCCTTCAGTGCTAAAGTTGGATATGGATATGGAAATCAATGAAAAATCGATATGAATTGTACCGATGCTTGCATGCTAATATGGAATTTTCCTTTGTCAACAAGACGAAGAAGGCATCTTTACTGAGACTTTAATGTTCATTAACTGTAAACCTATTATTGTTGCATTTTAATACTAACCAAAGACTGCCACACAGAAAATTGACTGGGATTGGGCAAGTATAGAATATATTCATATTCATAACTTTAATCTTTGTTTGCTCAACAATTGAACAAGAGAAGGATCCAAGATGGCGTCTCTTGTAGGGATCAAACATTTTGCGAATGTGATAAAGACATTAATAGAAATAAATATGCATATTATTTTACATATATGTACTGTAAAATAGTTCAAATCCTACACAGCGTACAATTAGAACATTGTTGATATAGCCTGATTGATTTTTAGTTTCCATCTCTGTTCTAACCACGACACAACATGCAGTTCTCCACAAAGACAGATGGGGGCTCCAAAGATCCTCTTCATGGCGCTAAAAAAAAACAACTAATGGCGAATATCCATCGACATTAACGCTTGGTTGGAGATGTTTGGCAGTGTGGCAGAAAAGCAGGTGAAGACATTTAGCATGAAGCCACCATACACACACAGGTATAAGGGTTTTTGAAGGCAGTGACTTATGATAATCTTGTTCCTGTGAGGTAGTAATGAAAACCTCTCTCATTATTCCTAAAATTATTCCCTAGTCCCTACTAAGTTCAAATCTCTTTTCCCAAGAACCTCAATAAGTTCTCGTCCTTTTGTCTTCAGAGTTACTTCCCTCACAGCCCAGATCGCCAATTAACAACTTTTTCAGTTAAATTACAAGGATAAGGCCGAGAGTATTACTGAAACTGACAGAAACATGATTTATTTTAATACTGACACGCAGTCATCATCCAAGACGGTTCTCACTAATTTGAGGAGAAATTGGAGCGTACAAAGTCAGAATAGGACCAGATAATAAGTGTTCAACTGGGTGTAGTAATGGAGGATAATGAGGGAGGAATGTCTGTAGGTTGGTCCACTCTGAGGTGTATTTCCTATGTGTAAATCATATGAGAAAGCCACCACAGCTGAATGCTGAAAAACCTTCACAGACTTCTGTGTTTCCCCCTATTTTTGCCAAATGGTTTCTTTAAAATCCTCTGGGGCATATAAATAGCACATTATTGAATTTACACTTTTAGCTGCTAGCCTTGAACTGGTCAAGTAATGGAAACCTGCCTAATGGCTCGGGCTTGCTGGGATAATGAACAGAAGTTGTACATCCAAGCCATGTTCCTTTACTCTCTCGCTCTGTGCTGTGCTTCAAAGGGAACACCATCATCAAGCTTCTCTCTAAAACCCTACCTCCTTATTAGCCGCTGCGAGCTGGACACCAGGCTCGGCTATTATCCATTTCCTATTGTTTCTCGGCGACAATGTCCTCTGATGAGTCGCGAAAATCCTTTAATGTGCAAATGCAACGCTGTGATTGTTTGCAGCTACGATGAGACACTGGTGAAATCAATGATCATTTCTTACTGTTAATCACTGAGGTAACCTCGAGCACTTTTTATCTCAGTGATTATGTAGTATTACTCAGACAGTTATGCTGCCCTGCAATTCTGAAAAATATAGACGTACATTCATCATTTTTTATTTTTATTTTTGTCTGTCATCAAGGTTAATACTGTTGTTTGGTTTTTAGTAAACACGTCTACACCGTTACTTTGGAGATATGTGTTCATTAAAAAAATGGGAAAGGCACGATGGTGAGATGATATAATGGTGTTGTTCTCTACTGGTGCATTTATTACTGACTTGTAATAATTGTCAAAAAGTAAATACCAGAACCAGGTTTGCACACTTGCACTTGCACGCCTTTTAATTATTACCACTATTAATAAACAGCTGTGGTTTCTACAGCAGCACTATAAAAAAACCTACAGAAGTCTGGAGGGTAATTTAAGTCAAATCTAATTAACTGTGTCTTATACATCTATATGTTTATCCAGCACTTCCCACTGCTTCTTGTCTTCAGGTGGTGACGAGGGAAAATGTCCCGAGGGTCCCAAACCCGGCAACGGTGTCAGGAATGGTGACACAGAGCTGCCGCTACAGTCGGATGTTGAGTTTCTAAAAATGTCTCTTTCTCTGCAGCACACACACACACGCAGAGAGAGAACGTAGGGTGCAGAGTTTTCATAAGAGGTCACAGATGAGCAGCAACAGGAGAGAAAGATGATTAGCCCTCTAATCCAATTGTCTTGTCATTTTTTTAATAAACCTGTCAGTTTTAGCCAGTTCTTCATTGACTTTGGCTGAGTGGTCTATTTATAAGACATTTTCAGAAGAACTCCGTGACGTTAGGATCCTGGAAAGTAATGTTTGCGCCAAGTGTTCTTGGCTCTAATTTTAATGATTTCACTTCTTCCAGGAAGAACAACAGAAGAACCTGAAACGTACGACTTCACAGTCACAGCTCTGGTCTCCGAGGGGGCGAAGATGTTAGGCTAGAATCTTTAAGATGCAACGAGGACTCAACCTTTGGCTTTATTAGCCTTGTCTGTCTCAGTCTGAGCGAAGGCAACGGTGTCAGTCAATTATTCATCAAGCAAAGCACGAAGCATTCTGATTTTCATTGCCTGCTTTCTTTCCCTGTGTTTTTCTACTTCAATGCCCAGCAGGTCTGACTTAACTCGTGCAGAAGATGGATTATACGACTATTTCATGATTTATTTCAATCTTCATCGCAGCTTTGATGTATTTTGTTGAGCGAGTTGGTGTTTTATCTGGGTGGACAACTGCTGTACCCCTCAAGTCAACTGTCCCCCACATACTGGCTTGTCTTTGAGATTGAATTTAGCCTCTGCTACAGCTGTCTCCCATGCTGGCAGTCATGGTCAGTTGGACCATGTGGACGACATGATAAAAGACACGCTTTGATTTGCATTCATAAAGCACTTATGAAGTTCAAAGAGAAGTAACAAAGACGAATGGAGCATGTGAGCACCCGCTCCAATATTTCACACAGCATCTGTCTTTGGTTTTGTCATTTCAACCCTAATGACAACGTCTGGGACGTGACACGAAGCCGACTTCCTCCAATGGACTTCCTGTCATTCTGTCGACTTGGGGTTATTTTTAAAAATCCTTGCCCCCCCCCCATTCTCTGGTCAGAGATTGTGTAAACATGAGGGAGTGTGGGGGTGGCTGGTGTGTTCTGGTAACACAGCCTGTGCCATGTAAAAGAATACATCGTTCCACTAATAGGAGCTTTCTGCTCCAGCTGCAGGCTGGGATTCAAATTGTCTGGGGAGTCACTGCCAGTTACCAGAGTTATTACCTGAAAAGAACAGTTTACTGCGTGAGGTGGATTCGGTTAAAAATCGTAGAGTTGGATGGCAGCTTCAAATTGATAAGGATCTTTCAGCAGCAGCAGCTTTGATGGATCTCCAGGCTGAATACAGATGTAAGTCTACACTATGTATGAGAAGAGGAACATCACGAAGCGCCAGATTGCATATCATCAAACATACCCCTAGTGCCTATGAATATTGATCCGTGCACATCAAAAGTAAAGGTTGACACGACAAAGTCGGCGGAGTGAGCGGCTGTGTTTTTAGCTCATTATTTCCTTGTCTTCTTGACAATTTAGAGCACTCCACTCCATATAACAGTTTGTCATGTCTGATGTTCCACATACAGTAGTGAGAGAGAAATTAGAAGAGTGGGATCAGTGGGAATTTGTATTAGCCACCTACAGATAAGGTGCTCAGTGTGTTTGACACGCATGCAGAGTGGGAAGGGAACAAAACAGAAACGATGACGAAAATGTTAATTTTATGTCTTGCATGCACAGCGCTGTGGCAGTAAACTCATATGTATGCACACTCAGTGAAGACTGTGTGAAGAATATGATCCAAAGTGAGTCTGCAGAGTCAATCAGTGACAGCGGAGCAGGCTGAGGACGGCTGGACACATGTAGTGCAGAGCTAGGTTTTGTTTATCTGTATACCTTTAACAACTATGTTAAAAATGTTTTTGACCCAACAGTAGTTGATGTATAAGACTACACAACCTCTTAAAACAACACCAGTATTTACCAGAAGAATAGTTGATGTATAAGACTACACAACCTCTCTCCAATTATTTGTGGTATAGAGGCAGCCATTAACTTATTGCATTAAATCACTGCTACCTGCTGGATCAATATTTTCATCCAAAAACGTCATAGCAACAGAATATAATCTTAATAAAAAATGAACAAAACAAACACAAAAATAGTAAAATGAAAAAAGGGGTGAGGATAACTTTATTATTTAATCCTTGGCCAATTAAAACCACATAGGGAAATCATTTACAATGATTCCACAGTGATTTTTTTAAAATGTTGACATCATCCAATGTTTACACCTGTGTACACACGTATTATTTCTTTTTTAATTACCAGATTTGTAACATTCATCTGAAAATGGGAGGGAGGGAGGCGTACAGACGATATGATCATGAAAATACAGAACCCAGTGGGAACTGTAACCTAGAGTTCAACGACCTGCGATCAGAAGGTCGTGGGTTCAGCTTGTCAGACAAACAGGGACGAGGTGAGTGCAGCGCATGAGTAATCCCACTGTCTGCAGCAGCCGGGGAGTTGTTCCTGAATGCGTTAGGCAGCAGCACTGACTGCCTCACAGGCAGTGACTGCTGGGGAACTGTACTGGATGGTTTTTCCGAATGGTAAAAAAGAACAGCTTCTGTGGACGGTGTGAAGAAGGAGATCATTCCTCTGCGTCCACACTACTTCGTGGACGGTGTGAAGAAGGAGCAGATCATTCCTCTGCGTCCACACTACTTTAGGCAGAGCGCAGAGCCTCAGAGCTGGGGGAACTCCAGTTGATTGTGTGTGCACCGACCACAGACGCCGTGGACGGAGACCCTCCTGACCGTCTCTCAGGGTGGGGCTCACGGTGGAGTATCTTCCCTGCGCGCCGCCACGCCCCCGCGCCTGGCGCTGTCCGGGGCTTTGGTGCTGAAAGCTGGGTACGAATCACTTTCAGCAGCCGCGCCGCTCAGAGCCGACAGAGCCAGAGACAGAGACAGAGACAGAGACAGAGACAGAGTCAGAGTCAGAGACAGAGACAGAGACAGAGTCAGAGACAGAGACAGAGTCAGAGACAGAGTCAGAGACAGAGACAGAGACAGAGACAGAGACAGAGCCAGAGACAGAGACAGAGACAGAGCCGCTTCTGAGGATGAAAATTCCTCAAGTTCAGATAAGGTCTCCGAGAAGAACCGTGTGTTGGATAACTATGAGGGAAAGATTTCTCAAGTGTTTCTTTTCCCCCTTTTAAGGATTTTTTTTTTTCTGAGCAACTTGGAGGAAGATAACTTCCAACCAGCATGGTTGGTGCTGCTTTTTTATGCTGCTTTCTATCGGTGGCCGTTGGATATCAAACGCAGGAGAGGCTGCCGTTTTTCCACGGGCATGTTTTTGAGAATTCACCGGTGGCGTCAAAAGTAAACGGACTGAGCATTCCAGTGAGGCGCATCGACGCGCAAAAATGGTGCCCAGTCTCCGGGGTGCACTTCAAACTGTACGGGAACGGCAGCGAAGATTTCCGCGCCTTCGCCCACCTCATGCGGGGGACCGTATTATTGAAAACTTCCAGGGTATTAGACAGAGAGACTCGGTCAGAATACCTGCTGACCGTGGCTCTGTGCTGTCACACCTGCATGCCCAGGTCGACGGTTTACGAGGCTGCGCTGGTGAAAGTGGATGTTTTGGACACCAACGACCACGAGCCCACTTTTCGCAGTGCAGCCAGCCTTCACATAACTTTAGACGACACCACTGCTCTCCGTAGCGTTGTGTGCAGGCTGGAGGCTGTTGACGCAGACAGCGGCAAGAACGGAGAGTTGGCGTACATGTCTGTCCCCAGCAACGGCAGCTTTTACGTTGTCCCCAAAACCGGGGAAGTTTTACTGGTTGACTCCATCCTAGGTCTCCCCTCCCAAGTTTCATTCAGTGTTTTTGCCAGAGACCACGGATGGCCCGCTCTGACGAGTAAAGGTGTAATAATCACTATTGTTCCACAGAGATGGACTACGCGTTCTGCTCAATTGCCACGATCACAGAAGGCATCGGGGCGGACACCCAGGGCGTTACTTGACCCTGAAGCAGTGTTTTCCTTCAATGTGTCTGAAGATGCCAGCGTTGGCTCCGTCATAATGAACCTGGGTCCAAGCAGGTTTCAGTCGGCAGCCTATGAGTTGATTTATCCCGAGTCACAAAGCTCTCCTGTCGCCGTGGGGCGCGACAGTGGAGATGTGACGATAACCAGGAGGCTGGACAGGGAGACGGAAGCAGACGTGGAGCTCACTGTTAAGATTCAGGACAAACGAGGTTTGTACAAATATTCAGTGGTTTATTGCAATTTGCTCTTGTGGTAATGTCGGGTCACGTCCCGGCCTCCTGACCCGGGAGTCAATCGCATTGTGGTCAAAACACATTTTAATGGAATGTTGCCCAATAGGTGCAGATGGTAAAAGTGTAGCGCCATCTGTAGACCTCACCCAGCATGTCACGCCCATCACTCACATCCACATGACCTGTCACAACGCCACAGGTGGGTCTTATACTGTATACCAACAACAGAGATAATTCTGCAGGATGACTGCAGATGATGATTCATTTAAGACTGAAAAGTGCTTTTCAGAACCAAAAGCACGTGAGCTTTTCAAAACATGCTGAAGAGTCTGCTGGAAATGATTAAATGATGTCCTTGATTGACACAGTTTGCGACTGTGAAGTTGTTCACAGACCTAATCCTTGCAGAGTGGCAATGCACTGTGACTCTACTCTATCCTCTACTGGCATTACTCCTCTAATCCTCCTCTCATTCACGCTGTAGTCCCAGGGATTTGGAATAGCACTGCCACATCCAGGCATCCTCTCCAAATTGTTGGAGGGTAGATGAATCCAATCAGTTGTTCGGAGTTGCTGTTCTGGTCTCTTAGATCTTAGATTTCAAGCTTAAAAACAACACATTAAAAACAAGAAATCCAAATGATCTTCTTTGTAATTGAGCAGCGTGGTGTGTGGGATCAGCGTGCACTGTTTTCATTTAGATTGTCTGCCACTGTTTCATTGCACAGCATGTTCTAGATTGTAATTGCATGCCTGATTTGGACACCATTCATGCACAGGGCATTTGGAAGTTTTCTTTTCTTTTTTTTCCCGCAGAGAGCAAAACGAAGTCAGAATTCTGTCAGCCTTTCTCCCCCTCAACAGATCCACAACAGAGATAAGTCTCTTGAGTCTGACAGATATTCAGATGCTATCCTCCATTTTACCTTTTTCACCTACTCCTCTCTTCTGATCAAAGGCGTAGCATCACTGACTACTGCTTACCAGACGACTCCTGACAGGACTCTGGGAGAGCGGGGCCTTTCTTCTGCTTGCCTCATTCCCAATAAGACTTTTCATCACTGAAGGTTTAACCTAATCTCTCATGTAAATTTGCCTCCTGCTCTTGTATTTTCGCCTGCGTAAATCTGCCAATTTTCCCTCGCTCTGTGTCAGAGATAAAGAAACCATTCCCACCAGTGCATTAGTGTGAGTGCCAGGTGGAGTGATCCGTATTTATATGCATCAAATTATTCTTGTGCATGTTTGTTTATATTCATGTATAGCCTGGGCAGTCGTATGAAAATTGACCCCGGGTTGAATAACAACCATTTTAATAAGGCCCCTAGAGTTGAGTAGTCTCTGCTTATTTTGACCACAGTGTACTCTAAGTAGTAGAGAGCTCTCCATGGTGCTGCTGACGGTCGCCCGCTGAATGCCAAACAGATAACACTGTCAGGCAACAGGTGAGCAGCAGTTGAAAGAATACTAAAATCAGCAGTAAGAAAATAAAAACCTAATGATTTTCAATACTAATGCTACATATAGGAAATACAATAAAATGATGGGCCTGCTCCTGGACAATCCAGTGCCAAAAATGATAAGGAAAGGCATAAAGACAGTTTTCATTAGAGAGAGCAGCAAAGGTTTACTTATTATGACCTTTATTATAACACTGCTCTTAGCTCCAGTACAGAGTAAAGTCCAGCTTCTAAACCTTTCTCCCTCGACACAAATATTATTTGTGTTACAGTGACTCTTGCTACTGTCAGTGATAACATTTTGACTACATGTAGGTAGTCATTCCTTCTTATCCTGTAAATGTGTTAGTGTCTGGTTTTCTTTATGACTAACCCTGACGTTGGCTCTTACGGATCGTTACAAGAACACAGACTTTTCATTACATTTCAGTGGTGTGAAAGACACACAAGTGCTTAATACTGGTGAGCCCAGATTTACTAAATGTGTGGTGAATGTGTTCATTAGCTGGTAATGTGGGCATAAAATGCTAATCACACTGGTGCAAAGCTTTTCATATGTAAATAGGTTTGCTGTGGGCAGAGTGTTATGATTAGAGCTGCTCTGTGCGTTGTTCAAATGGAGATTAAAAAGTTGAGCTTGACACTTGATTTCTCCAATAAATTGTTTTGGCATGCAACCATTAAGGTAGAGTTAAAAACAGCAGTCCTGTGTTGTTCTCACTGGGAGGTTCAGACTTTCCTGAAAGTACTTCCACAGAGCCTTCAGCCCCACAGCCCTCAGATATGACCTGCAGGTTTCTGTATGGACTTGAGAGAACAATATATATCATTAACCTGGCCAGTGAAGTGTGAGGCAGTAAAGTATTTTGCTTTTAGAACAGAACAGCAGTGCCACTGTTGGTTAATGTGAAGCTTGAAAATGCAATTAATCTGTGAAGTTTCTCAGTCATTGATGTAATTTCTTCCCAGGAGGTTAAGAAGAAGCCACCTTCAGAAATAGGCAGGAGAAAGCTAGCTTTTTTTTTACAATTGTCAAGTTAATTGCATTAACTTTGAGACACTGTGAGTTGACATTTAGCCAGAATAATTATTCCATCATTTGGAACAGTCAGTGTTTCTAAATGGACACACATGTTTTCTTCACAAAGTCATGAGCCACAGCTTGTTGCGCCGTTTGCTTCTTTACCATCGTTTTTCTTCATCTTGACTTAACTCCAATTAAATAAAAAATAAAAATAAAAAATAAAATAACTAGTAATAAAACAAATTCAGAGAATAATGTTTTGGATTTCATTTTTTTTTGTATCCTAGTCTTACCTTTCCTCTATTCAAACATTCATTGTGCTGTAAAACATGTACTTTTTTCTCTCTCCAAATGGATGGTTGATCTATTGCTGGAGAACCATCTACCTTCAAACTACATTAACTGCACTTATTAATTACAGTAAACCTGCTTAGAATTCAAGTAATAGAATTAGGTTTGTCTGTGAAAACACAGATCTGTCTGTATTTCTCTGAAGGAAATGACCAAAGTGCAGATTTTGAGCTTCCGTTTGTGATCATAATCAATATCAGCGGATCAATCCAACGTTGTATCACACTCGACTGCTCGGTGAGAACGGCCCATTGTTATCTGGTTTCTGCTTATTCTATATTTTTGGTAAATCCTGGGGTGATATTCTTATATAACCATCACAGTGTTGTGATTCATCACAACACTTACTGTTTAATTACACCCCCAAGGTTGGGAACGGCTTTCTCGGTTGGAAAGGCATGCGAGCAGTTTTGCTTAATTTCTTTTCTTTTAATTATACTTTAGTCAAAATTGTCTTGAACTTGACAAGAAAATTAGGTTATGAAACTCGGGTGCACCGAGCGTATGTATAGTATGGAACCTTATTTTTAGATAGCTGTACTTTTCAGTTAATAAAAGGGGGGCGGAGGGGGTAAGCTGGGATCTAATTAGGTTGCACTGGATGTACACAGAACAGGACTTCAAAATCCCTGTCAAGCTCTGACACCGTGCCTCCCACTCTGATGCATCAGATTTAGTACACACACTCGAATCACCTTGTTTGTCTAAGGAGTCTGTTCTCGCTCATGGCGCCATAAAAAAGTATACCTCCTTCCTCCCCGACTGGATCCCCTGCTAATGCTGAAGAAATATTTGCCTTCTAAACTATATTCAGTGCACCAAAAATCCCCAGAGAAAACAATGAAGTGATTTTTTTTTTTCTGACATAGCCTCGGTGTATCAAACCAGCAGTGTAAGAAAAAGGATAAAGCAATGGAAGTAGGCCATGACTCATGACTCAAACAGTTATGTGGTGTTGTTTTGAGGAGAGGGAGAGAGAGACCACTGCTACAGCTCCATAGCTGTAGGATTTATGCTGGCCCGCAGAGATTGTCAGTTCAGATTTGTATTGCTGGGATTTTTTTTTTTTTTAACTTTTGGTTGCCCTATAAGAAGAATTTTTTTGCACCTGAATGAACAAGTGCTAATGGCATTTGACAAGTTAACACGAGTCTTTTGCTTTTTGTGAGTTTTGTGAGTGTGTCCCTGTCCACGCAGGTACCGCTGGTGGGCTGGCAGGTCATATTACACTGGTGGTTATCACCTCTCCTCAAACGGACCTGTCTGTGAAACCTTTTTCCTTCTTCTTCCTTCAGATCTTTCTCTTGGCCAACATCACACCTCACGCTGCCTTTAATCCAATTTCCTTTTTTCCTGTTCACCCACAACTGTATTTGCATACTGCTCTCATAATGTGAAAGGGATTGCAAGAGAAGCAATATTAATTTTGTTTGTAATTTGTGACCGTAGGGGTTGTTTGTTTAAACAGAAAAAAAATACTGTCTGCCTTTTCTCGGAGTAGTAAAAATACCCATGGCCATTATTGGTTTTTTCTTTTTTCTGTGATTGTAAACGTTGGTGTGGTTTCTTGCGGGTTATGTAAATTTGTTTGTGTATCACTCTGTGCCTGTGTTAAATGTTGTGATTGTCCTCTCAGTACCCAGGCATCCCAAGATTTGTCACTTCTGATGACACGCTGAGAAGCTGTAATGTGCCTGCAGCATTTGATTTCTGCTCTGTGGTCTCTCAAATATCAAACAGATGTGTCTATGCGACGCCGCTGCAGCCGCAGCCGCAGCCGCTTCCTCCCTGAAAAGCTGCCACCTATCTGATGCCATTCGCGTGCTACAGATTTCTAAAGATGAGATGGAAAAGAAAAACAGGGAAATGAACGACGCAGACTTTCTTGTATCTGTAGGACATTTTTGAAGTGCATATAAGAAGCTAACTTCAGGGGCGAGGAGAGGTCAGAACGAGCTGTTACGCTAAAGGCACGGTCAAAGAGCACAGATGTGAAATGAAGGGAGTTAAGCAACTAAAGGGTGAGAACATGGGGGAATGAAAAAGAGAGAATGGATGAGAAGACACGCGCTCCATGCTGCATTTGTGTCAAAGGCCTATCAGTGTCAGGGAGTTCCTGACCAATCACCGTCCATGATTGG